ACATTCTTCAAATGAAGAGATAGTATCTGCCTTAAAATGGGTTAATTATAAAATGAATACGATAGACAGCACGATTAACTTTTTGTTAATAATATTAGCATCGAATGAAAAACTTTTGGAGAGTAGAACGCGAAAAGCGTAGTAGTGTGAGTGCTAGACTCGGCCCCCGCCAAATATAAGTTTCTTACTTTCTTTTATTTGCTTATAATATATTTATCAATTAATTAAATTCTAGACTTAAGTCCAAAATTTGAAACTACTTCGATATTCATATCAATATATCCATAAATCCATAAATTTTTTGAAATTCAAAATATCTCAGATTAGCCGCCCCATCTTGTTTCTCTATAAAGATTAATAAATTGAAACAAGAAAAAAGCATTACCAGTCGAACAAGGCCGGTCGTTAAATACCCTATACCGTTTCGCTTAGTACAAATCTTTCTTTACGTATTTTCTTGATAAAATTCCCAAAATTATACCTTGTTCCCATGCAAAAGTATGCTTACATGGGAATACTTACAGGGGATCTTGTATATAAAGTGAACGCACGTGATCAAAATTTGCTATAGTTCATTTATATGCAACCTATTGCTATTATAGATTAATTTTCATTATGAACTATGAAAAATTTGTCGTATGAAGAAACGATTATATGAGAGAGACTTTGCAACTTTTGAATACTGCAATTTGTTGTCATATAACGGCTTTTTCAAAATAAAATCTTATATAAGAAAATAAGGAATGGTCGTCAAAATGGTCCGATCCAATATATTTTCAATAAGGTTCGTCCTGAACACAAAAGTGTATCAAATTTCCTCAAAATATCTCGCAAATTGTCGTCTGCACTGACATCAGGCGAACAGAAAAGCGGATAAGTTTAAATCAATCTAGGAAATGATTCTGAATGGACAAGAATAATATAAGTTGCGTCTGTCTAAATCTTGCTAGGCATAACACACGTTCGTACAAGTAGGCCATGAGTGCTCAATGTTTCTCATGCGAGCTAAAAATTAATATTATGAACTATAACATAACCCGATAAAACCTGCAGCCAGTAAATCTCATGATAATAAACAAAGTATTTTGAAAGAAAATATTTCAAATCAATTTTAACATCAAATATACTTCATTTGAAATCAACTTTTCCTTCTGTTTGTAGCATACCGAAATATATGAGAAAGAGATCATAAAATGCATGTAGCTTTTCTTGATCAGGATTAAATTCCGAATCGATTTAAATGCAGCAGTCTGTCCTCTTGTTTTTAAAACACTTAAACTCTCTCGCCAATTTTTAATTTAGAAAGGGCAACCTTTGCAAAATAAGCGTGAGCCGCTCCCAAATACAATCACAATAAACACAATTCAAAACTTTCAATTTGTAAAGAAAACGGATTTTAGATTCGGTAAAACACGTTCGTGAAGTCGTTGCAGATCTGTGGTCAAAAAATAAATGACACGCTCAAAAACCTGTACACCGCTACAAAGGAAACTATATTGATCTAACCAAAGCTCGAATAATTTTATATAGAATATTTTCTTTCAGGTATTGTCCATCGTTAGCCAATAGATTTTCTCAATCTGGTAAAGTACAAAGTCCACGTAAAGAAATAATTTAATGATTATCATTAGGAAGGAAAAATCGGTGATAATCGGAGCTAATTCATTGGAGCGTTGTTCACATTTCTTAAATGTGTTTTGCAACATAATGCTAATCATCCAGATCGACTAATCGTTTTGGTAAGATCTTCGACTGACTGACTGTTTCGTTGGGTTAAAGAAACTCATAATACTTTACATGATCTCAGATATATTATATCGCGTCCAATTTTCATCACCTGTCATTTGTCATGATTCGGCAGCATTTTCTCTCAAATTTGAGAGAAGGGTAACAGTTGCTACGAATGAAGTACTTGCAGGGCATATTTCGACTTATTTAAAGATTAAAAAAGAAAAGAAACTGTGAATTTCACACTTTAACAGAATAACTTACGCTTGTTATTTAAGGATTAAAGTAACTTTGCAAAGAGAAGCTACACTTTCGTGTTCCCTCTCTCGCAATCAATATTTGGGCAAATATTCATCTTCCTATCCCAATTAACTTAAACAAATATTCTCAACTATCAAACCGGACGAGTATGTCTAAGATACTCACAAATCAATTTACAAAATTAGTACGCCTCCCATTATTAAATAATAGTTACATTAAAAAAAAAAATATATATATATATATTGAAAAAGAGATAACATAAACATCTACATTAACATAAGAGAGTAGGAAACGTACATACGTCAGTATATATATACCCGCAGTATTATATCAATATTCAAATTCCAAGTAGCACTAATTGAAAAATGACTGTGCATGGCTTGGTATAATCATGCTTTATGGGGAGATAGAAGAGATTTTTTTTTTTTTTCATTTTGCTTAATATGGTTCCATGTTATGTTATGTTAAACTTTACAAATCTAGCTTTCTTTCTATTCTTACATTGTTTATCTAAACTATTTTTATCTATAAGACGACTTCATTCAATATAAAGAAAATTTTGAGTAGCAAAGTTTCATTATTACTAAAAATCAAAAAAAAAAAAAAAAATTATTTAGGCAAATTTTACACGAAAACTATTTAAAAAAAACTGTTTAAGGTCATGTTCAATGTCAGGAGTCATTAGGTGTCATTCGCAGCGAGTTGCAGACATCAGCAGCGACAGATCCATTATGCGTCAGATAGAGGACTTGACAACGAAATTTCTCGAACCGTTTTCAATACAAGTTTTCATTTGTGGCGGTCGATCCGTGCGCATAGGGCACATTTTTTGCTGTTAACTTTTCAAATATATGTAAATATAAAAAAGCGGTATATATCAGAAATCAAAGTTTTTCCTTTCACCCTAAAGTTGAGGAAATAAATGAGCAAATACTTTGTTAAAAGATCGGTACAAAATCCAACTTCCACTGAATATATGACCCTATACAATATTATGCAGCCATGCACATACTTCATTGTCTTTTTCAAACGACCTGAATATACATATACATGATATTCGATTGCATTGATATGCGTTAATCCAATTATGTATGTACGATATTTCAAAACTTATACGATATAAATAAAACATTACTCCTGAAACGTAGCAGAGTTTCTACAAATTGCAAAGGTGTACATATTTTAAATGCGATAAATACGTTCGCATTTTTTTTTTTAAATCAATAAAAAATTGAACACCTCAAGAAAAATACGAAAAGCATTGGCTTATTTAAAATGCTTTGCACGGATAAGATAATTGGCGTTTTGAGGTTGCGTCCATTTTTTAGATATCGGCATAAGAACGGAAGCCCTGGTCGACCAGATAATAATCCATCGATAGTTAATCATTGTTAATCAGAAGGAATAACGTCTACTGATAACAGCTATCAGGACAGAATAGTTCCAGGTGAGCAATGTTACCGTTTCCCGGGCAAGTTTTGCCGTACGAGTTCAAACGCCACCATGACAAAAAATCACAATGCATTTTGACATGTTGCTTTAGTTTTTCGACTCAATGACACCGGCTGCCGGCTATTGGTAGATCACCCGTAGTAATAGCACATAAAAACTAGCTGTTCTGATTAGGATTACATTACCCAAATTTTGGTCTAGTAAAATGAATTTTTTCTTAAACTTGTTCTCTTTTTTCTTTTGTAGAGTTGCGATTTCTCCTCAATGAAGTGCTTTTATGAAAATAGAAGTTCATGTGTAAATATTGAAAGGACCCTAACCAACAATCGTAGATTTTATAATTACGTCAAGCGTGCTATCGAATCACGCAAAAATCAATGAATTGAAATATGTACGATCCGTATAATATGGTGTATTACCAATACATATGTATATATGTATATGTTCGTCATGTAATCAAATATTGCTCGTAAGCAATCAGATGAACATAAAAGTGCCCGCGCTGAAGATATAATAGTAAGTTCTTCTATGTTTGTTTTTTTTTTTTTATATCAAGCAAGATTTGGCTTAAACGATGCCTATAACTTTCTTATTTCCTTACTTTTGACTTTATCGTCAACTACTTGTGCTATTGTTTTTCATTATTAATTCCCAAAATTTAAATACGTCTAAGTCACGGATGAGTTGAATTTCTGAAGGAATCGCTGCGATGTTGCAAATAAACATCAAAAATGATTGTTTACTTTAAGGTTTATTTGCAGAAATAATTACTTGCATTAATTTCCATACCTTTAAATTTGTGCGCCTTCAAATTTATGCGTGCATACGTATGTATGTATGTATGTATATATGTATATATGAATATATGTACTGCATGTATGTATTGGTTTCATTCATTTTCCAGAGTATGTTTTCTTCTTTTTTTTTTTACTTTCTGTGTAATCACAAACATAACAACACAAATACAAAAAAAAATTACACATTAAATGAAATTTATCTATGTCACATGTGCGCGAGTTGCGCACATACATACATACATATATACATACATACATACATACATATATATCTAAGTTAGTATGTGTGTTTATGTGCAAATATAAAAAATATAAAGTGAATGTTTTTCAGTTGTGTCGGTTGTTTATATATTCATACATACGTATATAATTCATGACCTAAATAGCAATTCCTTTCTTTCTTTATGCTGTGCTTTCTTTCATTTGTTTTTTTTTTTTTGTTTTTTTTTTTTGATATCAGAATTTCAGTTTACAATAACGCCGTCAACATGAAATTGTTAATACGTGTGCTTTGCTGTGCTTGTGCTTATGCTTATACTGAATGATGAAACTTAGAAAACTATTTTTCATATGAGATGATTTATTTTAAATAAAAACAATTGGTGACCAAGGATACGAAAGTTTTGTGTTCACTGGAAGCTGTAATAGCAAGTTGTCGTAAAATAAATTTACAATTATTACGATTTGCCATTTAAAATATTTATGAATGTTGTTATGCATGATCTAAGGTCTAGATAATAAATTATTATTAATATTGCTTACGTTTTATCGCAACAAAAGAGAAAGTGTGTTTGTGTATATAGTGAGTCCTTTATTTCGTTCATATTTACGCTTTTATCTTAACTAAGCGCATAGATAAGAATCGTTAAAAAGCATAGCTTTGAGATAAGGACACATATAAAAAAAAAAAAAATAAAACTGATTGCCTGTTTATAATTTTTAATTTGATTAACATTCAAATCGTAATATATTATTACATAAATAACACTAAAGATGAATGATAGTTTATAGATTTTCGCGAAAATGCGAGCACATTAGTGAATCGATTTTCTTAGTAATTTAAGACCGGAACTCAACAAACAAACCAATTTTTGAGGATGGGAGAAGACAGGCCACCGAGTGAATTTGCATTTGCACTATCTGCAATATGAACAAAAACATGCATATATGTAATTGTTTATGAGTTAGAAATTAAAATCGCTTTTCATTTTATTTATTATTGAAAAGTTTTATTACTTATGTACTCAAGAATCGGCGGTTAAAATTAACGTTATTTTATTTATACACATACTAATATACTCCTGTTTAAATATTTTTAATGGCTTTCACATCTAGCTCGCTTGCTCTGCGCCGCGCCGCGCCGCGCTGTACTTTTCCCACTACTAAATGTGAACATTTTCAGCAATACATGCGCATGCGTAATTATAGCCACAAGTAAAAGTGTTAATATAAATATAAGTTGAAGTAAAAGTACCTGGTATAAGTACGAAGGTATAAGTACAGTTATAAAATTGTCTATATTTAAGTATAAATGTCAGTATAATGACATTATTAACACACATAAGTGTGAATGGAAATAAAAGTGTATAGGAAAGCATGGGATATAAATAAGTATGTATGCGAGTATAAGTATAATTAAAGTTTAAGTATAAATAAAGTTATAAGTATGTCAATATAATTGTATTTGTATGAGAATATATATGTAAATATGGGTACAAATATGAATAAAAGTATAAATACAAATACATATAAGCGTATATATAATTGTAAAACCAATTATAAATATTAATGTGCTTGTGTGTAATGTAAGTTTATATATAAGTGCGACTGTAAAGATTACTTACTGTAAGTATAAGTATTGATGTAAATGAATATAGGTATAATCATAAGTGTATATAATATAAGTATTAGTGTAATTACGAATGCAAGTACATCTTCAAGTATGTATACAGTTTTAGTGTAAGTCTAAGCATAAGTGTAAGCATAAGCGCATCCATAAGTATAACGATAAGTATCATCTTAAGTATAAGTATCAGTGCAATATATCTATGTTAGTAGTAATGCAAGTGTATGTATAAATATAATTATTAGTTTATATATGTTGCGTACATAAATGTATAGAGTATGGCATATACCTAAACATATAGGCAAAAGTGCGTACTGTATAAAAAATTCACTAATGCAACCATAAAATATTATAAATCCCGTATTAAAGTAAGAACGGTCTTTAACACGTTTGAAACTGAATAACATTTGCCCCCCTATCAATAATTTCATATTAACCTAAACTTAATATTGTTTAGCTATATTGTCCATTTATACGGGATATGTCTACAATAAGTTGCCAATAAATAGCAATCCTCATATTTTGCTCGCAGTCTTCACAATATTTGTACCGAGTTTCATCTTTATACACATAATTCCCTTTTTACACGAAATTTGATTTAACATGAGTTGAAAGTTTTTTGGATTCTCATCTATAATGTAAAAAGAGAGTTAGGTATATATTTATTAAGAGCGTTCTAAGAGCAGTCCAGTATAATGAATCTTGTACTAATCACCAATGTATACATTTTATGCGGTGTGCACTAACCGTACGGATAAATCTGGCATATTCCTAACCTTCAACGATAGAAATATCAAAAGCACTTTAAGCAGAAATAAATATTGTGAACGACGTCTGATTGTTGTCATAGCGTAAAAGAAAGAGTCTTGGAACACATATGAATACGCTGTTTTTGCATGCAGCAGAACCATTGATTTTACAATAACATCGAATGTGTGTCAAAACCATTCAGTAAGGAACGATTATAAAATAAATAAGAAAATCATAAAAACAGGACAAACTCGATATGGATACAGTATCGTCTTTTTACACGTTTCATTATATAGAGTCATCCATTTTGTGGTTCCGAAAGTAATCGTAGATCAAAAAGAGAGATTTAGATCAAATTCCTTTTCAATATGTTGCTTGGACCTTGCCATAAACAGCTTTATAGCATACAGAGATTGTTGAAATTTATTACGCACACAATTAAAACACGGTCACGTCTCGTGAATGTGAAGTTAAGTTCATATTTGATTAAATGACTTTGTAAGTAAGGAATTTTAGCCCTCTTTAATTGGAAGAGCACATACCTATTAAAAGATCTGTACGTGGACAAGGCCGGTTGTGTAACAAAAATCAATTTTTTGGGGGAAAAATTCAATGATTGTGTAACTTTGAAAAATACCTATATGAGTTTGCCACAAAGTCTCATGCGAATAAGAATTCTATCGAATTCTTAACTTTGGAATAATATTGGAGCCATGAATTTTCAAAAACCTTGTTCACATTTACATGAAATCATTTTTTAAGTGATTTTTCCTTAAGATGAATCATGCGGTATAAGAAGAAGAATTCATGATGTTACAAGGAATTCATGAGCCATACGAGGAAACCATAGAAGGAAAAAAATGACGACCCGATATATGAATGAGTAGGTAATGTTAAAGAACTACATTTTGTTGTTGTAGGAGATTCGTGAGCAAGCTATTGTTTGTTAAAAAAAGAAAAAACGATCTATGTTGCTTGGCGAAGAAATCAAAAAATTTTGATATGCGGAAGAGAAAGAGATAATAAGAGGTGATAATTACAATCTGAAGAAATCTTCCATTTGCAAGAGTATGAGATACCACCATCAATAATTGTTTTGAACATTTTAGCCGCATTGTAAATACTAATGTTAAGCACATATTGTAATAACATCTGTCCACGGCATGCAAACTACATAATACGATTATTGAAAACACCTTGAGTAACAACATATATCAATGCCTATAGCAAACGCAGTATAGTAGACACAATTTCCTCTTTATTACGAAGACTTTAATTAGTCAGCAAATAACCCTCAATCCTACATGGCCTATATAAATGTATGTATTGAATTTCGGAATCACCTATGCCGCCACAATTAGAAAGCTAAAATTTTTTATCTATCGCGTATAGGTCTCTCTCATTTTCAAATTTAACCTGTGTGTGTGTGTGTTATTATTACTATTATTATTAATTTCGCCAGAGAAATAAATTCTAAGATTAAACTTTTAAAAGCACTAGCATCTAAGGCTATCGGCTTTTATTAAAAACTACCGCACTTGAGATTCGAACCCACGACCATTGACTTGCTAATCGAGATTCCTCGCTATCATCATATTATTATGATTATCCGGATTGCTACATATCGAAAGTTTATGGTTGTCGTCCATGCTCCCAGTCCTGCAGGTTAGGAATTCCCGCGATTGTCGCCACCTACTTTTCGCCCTCTGGCATTATGAAATGTTCGGGGAAACACCTGGTATTTGATAATATTTTTCAATCGTCACTTTGCCAAATTTGCACAGGGTCGTATCGAATATGTATTTGTATCCGTATTTATTAGACGATACTGTCAGGTATCTACAGGTGAAGTTATATTTGTGCGGCGGCCAGCAATCAAGTGCAGGTCACTTGTACGTAATTCCGCTAGTTGATCTGCTATACGGGTAACTACAAAAGTTAATGTAATGCAATACTTATCGTACATAACTGTTAATGAGACGAATTGCCTTTCTTGCGATAACTGGCATAATAGTTTTCCTATCGTTAAAACGTCTGCTTTCGTGGAAGTGATTGTGATAATATTTTATATATAAGTAAGCTACGCCCCACAAAGCCACATCAAGCATCCTAGGCGTCGTGGGCTCGCCTTACAAGTAGCATAGATCGCAGACATTTCCATTAAAATTGAAAATTTAATGAAATCTTCTTTAAACGTCTTTTGAAGATAATTCTGAACTAATGTCGACATTAAAGTATTGAGCACCGCGCTCTCCAACTTGTTCCTGATTAATAAAGAATGGGAAAATACATGCACGTGTGGATTCGTTTGACGTGTGATTCGCTCGAGGCTTTTCCATGACTCACTTATTTGCTTTGTCTTTTTGCACTTAAATATTTCAAAATTATTCGTCTAATTGAAACAAACATTATTATCGTTAGCAAACTGAAAAACTTTACATTCAAAAATTAATGATCAGACAAGTTTGTTTTAAATGAGGGATAGATAAATAGACATAATAGATAGCAGTTCGTAATAAAACTAATGCACAATGTTTACGGTTTGCTATCAGAAGATAAACGCAATAATATATACATTTTTACCATTCAGTGTATTCTGTACACAATAAACCATAATAGGAGAAATGCATTTACGGTTCATCATAAAAAAAGGAAAGTGCTTGTTTACTTTTACTTGTGGCGTATTCTTATTCCATTATATACACTTAAAATTATATGCTTTCCTCTATGAAACTTATAGATAACGAGCCGTTTTATTTATAAGGCATAAAATAACTTCTTTTGAATTAATTTGCTCTTATTACTTTAAAAAGGTATTGATTTGTGCTTTTTAATGCACATTTGCATCGGTTACGCCATTCTTGACGCTAATCACGTAACTTTTGAGATAATAACTGTCTTAGCTATAGCGTGAAGCGAAAATTGCTTTTATGTGCCTTACGCACGTCTATTATTCTCATGTCATTTTTTTAACAATTGGATGCAAAAGAAGAAGATGAAGAAAAGAACAGAAAAAAAAGTCAGAAAAAGGAATACAAGAATTAACAGCTAATTGGTGGATACAAATTTTATTATTATATTTAAATATGTAGGCATAATGAAAAAAAAAAAAAAGAGAAAAACCGAACACATTTTTAATATTATTAAACCATAATATGATATTCATTCATCTGTTTGTTATTGTACAGGTGAAAGTGTCCATGCCATCACTTTGGAATTTTTGAGATTTCTGTGCGAAATATTGGGTCAAACGGTTCCACAGGCCTCTTTCGAAGTCAGCCTTCTGTAAAGAACGCGGCAAATTACAGTAGGACGTGGCAAAACCAGGGCTACATAGTGGGTGGATTAAAATTTTCCTATCGTGTTTTATCAATTTGCTTCGATATCGTCGTGACAGAAGGCTACGCACTTACTATTGATTTGTCTTAGACGATTAAATGCTCACTTTAATCGCACTTATCATTGGGAGTAGAGAGGGGATTAGTCGTGTGATCAGCCTGGAACAGACCATGATGCGCCAATCGCCCTAATCTCATCAAACACAAAACTTTGTTTTACGTGGCGTCAATTGAGAATTTCTGCAGGTTCATCCATCTTTTTCCCATGTTATTTGTGGAAATTTGAGTTCATTACATTTTTCGCTACTAATCGATGTGATAGACAATCGCTAAACTTGTTTTTTATTCAAGTCGTTTTACGCAAGTCGTTTCAATCTCGCCGTGATGTCACATCAGATCAAATTCGCTGGTCTCTTCTTATTTTTGAAAGATTGAGGGACCACCCGAGCACTTTTCATCGTACACAACCACGAAGTTTTTCATAAGCTTGCGCAAAACTTTATCGAGGCAGCATTATAAAATGTCGAGTTTTTTCTCAGAATTTTGCGTTATTTTCTTTCGACAGGATCTATCATTGCGAATGGCAGATTTTACTTCGTCCTATTTTCGGCTTGAGAGCGTTCCTGTTATCCCTACGTTACGCGCTTGTAACATCGATTATTGGAAGAAACGCTGTGATGAACAAGTA